CAAAAATAAAAAATAAATAAAAATAGTGTTATTATTATATTTATTAAAATAGAATTAGACAATAAATGATTTAAGCTAGAGTTAAAGCTTTGCTCTGGTTCCGAATGTTTGGAGATGAACTTCTTTATTTGGTATGGATATTGAAGCTAACATAAAGAACTAAATTAAAATCACTTAATATTTATATATTGTAGAAACTTAGTATGGTATATCAAATTTTAATGCTACATTCCCAAATCGAAAATCGTGATAAAGAAATTGAAAAAAAAAAACTCTTCCTCGATAATTCTCAATAATTTGAAATCTCTCTGTAAATAAAAAAAACAGATCCTGATCTATCGAGACTCGATTGTAGTTCAATATAAGCACATTGAACAAAAAAAAAAAATTTATATTTTATATAAACATACTTACATGTATATATATAGTTTTGCGATAAATATAATTAACATATATATATGATTAAAATATATAAAATTTTCATTTCCATATTTCAATATTTTTAATTTTTGATTAATATACACCATCGGTCCTCTTTCAACATATATACTCTTTAGATATTACGTATACGCCATGTGGATCCTATTAAGTGTAATTAATAAGCACATTAATGCCAGACGTTTAATATATCCTTTGGCTACATCGTTCGCTGGCATTTCATAATAATTTACACAGTCAGTTGCCATTTTGTCATTAAAAATTGCGCACAAAATGCGGCAAATAAATTAACATTTAAAAACGCACACAACCCGAGACAATACCAGCTTGGTTGAAATACCAGCGAGAAAACACCCTGCAGAATTTACATATATAAAAAGAAAAAATCATTTTCAAGGAATATATTACAAAATTTATTTTAATAAAATTATCTGCTTTCTTCTTTTTTCTTGTCTTCTCTCTCTTTTTCTTTCTTTCTCTCTCTCTCTCTTTGCTTATATCTTTTTAGATTTTTGTCTCTGTTCGCTGGCCGCTCTCTTTTCTTACCATCTTTTGTCTGCCTAATATTTTTTGTTCTCTCTCCTTACTTCTTTTTTATTTTATTTATCGTACTTCGTTGTTCTTCTTTCTTTCGGCTCTACTGTGTTCTGTGTTTACTCTCATCACTCCTTCTTTCTTCCGCTTTCACTTTAATGTGTTCTTTCTTCTTGTTTATCTTCTCTATTCTTTCTCCGCCCTTCTCTCATTTTATTCTTCTTTATCTTGTATTTTCTATTCTCTCTTATCCATTCAATCTTCTCTCCTCTCCTCTCTGTGCCCTATCTGTCTCTTTTCTTCTTTCTTCTCCCACTGGCGTCCTCCTAATATTATGGGCAACGCCTATTGAAACTCGAATATCTCTATCCACTTTGCCAGACGACCCTTTGCGAATTCTTTTGCATTGCAGGGTATGCCTGAAGCAAACTCGACAAAGACCACACTTTCACTTTGTTATCAAGCAAATGGCCGCATCTCTGGCCCATCGCGTGATATATTCAAATATATGCACAAAGGTATATACAGTTATATATATTTTATTTGCATTGATAATTTATTGCCGCTGGCCAACGGGCGGCATTGCATTTAAATAAATAATTAAGCAATTTGCTTGTTGTGCTTTTTGTAAATGAAATACAATATTTTCTTAATGGAAATTCAACAGAGCCAGGCCAAGCCACGCCAAGCCGGAAAGAAGACTCAATTGTAACAGGGCTTCGATTTTTTGTTGTTTTTGTTTTTTGCCATTCGCATTTAATTATTTATTTATTATTTTCTTTTACTGCTTTTCTTTTTTGTTAATGTGTAATTTTTAATTAAATGACAGTCAATGAGCTCAGTGGCCGCTTAATGCCTTTTTTATATAGGTTATTATCACAATACATAAGTGCAAAGACTTTCGAATACGCGTGAGCATATTAATGTATATATATATATTATATGAATATACGAATATGAATATACGTATTTATGAATATATGTAATTGTGTCATATGTTAAACAATATTTAATAAATTGCACTGCACATCATCCACTTTGATCAAAAATTAATGTTTCTACAACTCTTTCCTGGGATTACGACTCAATTAAGAAATTCAATATTACCCTGTGCTCTCTATCTCTCTCTCCCTCTCTGCTTCTGTATCTCTCATTCACTCTCTCTCTCTCTCTCTCTCTCTGCTTCTGTCTCTGTCACTCACTCTCTCTCTCTGTCTCTGCTTCTGTCTCTGTCACTCAGTCTCTCTCTCTCTATCTATCTGTCTCGCTCTATCTATCTATCTATCTCTCTCTATCTATCTATCTATCTATCTCTTTTGCTCACTTCGTCTCTTTCTCGCTTATATAGCGTGTTTAGTTGATCTGAATATTCATAGCAAATAGTGCTACAAACTTTTTTAATTATTATTAATTAATTGATTTTTTTTAAACTTTCTGGTAAAAATAAAGTTTTACAGATATCTCGAAAAAGACAATTTAAGTTGATACTCTTTTTTTACTTTGTTAATAATTACTAATAATATAAATATTAAAAATATCAATCAATAAATATTAATAGCTCACCATCTCCTCTGTGTATATATATAAAAATCGATCGTAATGCGCTCTGGCGCTATCCTCCAATCGCATTTGGCCTAGATCTTCCTGTTCGAGCGGTTCCTTGTAGCCCAGCCACAGCAGCGAAGTAAGCCACCAGAAGCAGATCTTCGAATAGAATGTGGCCAGCGTATGCTTGTAGCCGATGCAGTCATAATCCTCCAGATAGTCGTCCCGATAACGCTGCAGTATAAGAGTGTAGAATCATATATAAGTCCCAGCAGATTTACCAGATTAAACAACTTTTGATGAAGTTCTCATCAGCCCGAGCTGACGGCTCACACAACTCTGCATCGCTCCATAAGAAGACAAAGCCTGCCAAAAACTGGACCATAACTCAAAAGTAACTTAGTAACTGGCCCTAAGCTCTGACAACAAATTCCAAGCTGCCTCTCAGTGGCCTCGTCTGCCATGCAAAAAGACAAGATGACATTTGAGTGTCTTGCTTGCATGTGTTACTGCCACTTATAATAATGTGCATGCCCATTCGTAGAGCAAATATAGGGTGGTTGAGAAATATTGTAAGGAAATAATCTTGCATATTATATGTTGTCTTGTCACTCATAAGAATTGACAAGAATTTTTGGAATATATTTTTATATAAATAATTTTGAAATAGCCCAAAATACGATATTTAACTGTGCAGTAAAGAAAATTTATGAAACTCAATCCAAAAGTTTTTTTGTAACGACTGATTCTCAGTTGATGCCCAACCCAGGCGATTGACTTTGTCGGATCTACTTTGATATCGCTTGCTTTGGCTCATACATTTTTTTTATGCCCAAACTCCAATCAGGAATCCAATGATTAGTCAAATATTCAAATATATGTGTTGTAAAAAAAAAAAAAATAATAANCATCAGCAGTTAGTTTCGTTTAGTTTTGGTAGATGGCGCTGCAGCAGTGAATCTATTTGAGTTTTGCCAGCGCCACTAGCAGGAGTGAGGTGGCCTAGTGTGTTAGCAGCATGACGCTCGATCGAGGAGTCGCGGTTCGAATCCCGATCGATGCAACTGATGTTAATTTTTTTTAATTGTTTCAAAATATTTTTATATTTTATTAAATGAGTTTGGTATTTTATTTATATTTTAAAATACATCGAAATTGAAATTTCAGCCATACTAAATGAGCATTTTTATTTGTTGGGTTCAGGGTAGTATCTAGTCGAGCACTCTCGACTAGAATTTTCTTACTTGTTTTTTTTGGTCTTTTGTTTGGATGAAAACTGTTGCAGGTTGGCAGCTTTGCTGCWGCTGCTGTGGCAGTTGTGTTGTGGCATTTGTTGCACTTAGCCAAGTCTAAAGCGAGCCGTTTTTGTGGCACTCGTGGTGCGGTCAAGCGCTCAACGCCTTGAAGTATGCAAACGCTTTGCCAAACTGACATAAATAAAATATTTGGCCAGTGCAAAAGGATTTCGAGGAGCTGCAAATCTGCGCTTAACCTCAATTAAAATGTAAACATATTAAAATCCCAGCACTGAGCACAGCACTACTCCCAGCCGCCCACGCCTCGGCCGTGCTTTATGATAATCCCTTGTTAAATTAAATAAACCTTTTGCATTGTCAACGTCGGGTGAGTCCTTCACTGTCTTCCACTCCCCGGCTATTTGCTCAGCTAATTTTACGCGCTCGCTCGCTACCAAAATGCAAATGCAAATGCAAACTGCACTGAAAGCCACGCCTTCACTCTTCTGCCTCTTTTCCTTCCTGGGCCAAGCGCTTACCCTCGTCAGATAGACACCCCCCATATATATGTATATACAATCAACCGCCTAACCCAACATCCGTTTCAAACAACAACTAAAACAACAACAATAACAACTGCAAAATCTGCAACCGGTTTTAACTATACTCTAATGCAAGTCGAGGTTACTTAGATATCCAATTATAAACTATAAAAATTCATATCTATAATTTTTTTTTTTTTTTGTTATAATTTTTAATTTGTTAATCATAAAATAAATCTCTATTTAATGAATATTTCGATAATTCATTTTCATTAACTTATAATTAACATTTTTCATTTAATTCAATTTAATGTAAATATAAAATTTTAAATATTTTTGTAATTATTAATTATTAAATAATAATTTGTATGTGAGCATTATTTAAACTTTACAAAAATATTTAAAATTTATTATAAAAACATTAAATTCGATTAAATTAAATTTATAAATAAATAAATAATAAA